TTCTAACGTCAAATTAAAAGTTGCTCTTTCCTCGGTGTAATCGTGACTTACCAGTGTGTTAGCCATTTTTAGCGAAGTTAAAAGTTGTTTTATGTGAAAATATTCTAACTTAGGACAATCTATACTCGTATGTATCTTGGGGTAAGTTTATAAAATAATATTTATAATTATGCAGCATTTTTTAAAGAAAAAATTATATCTATAAGCATTAGGCTTAGTAAAATAGAACTTAGTTATTGTTACAGAAGGCCTGTTTCCAATTTAAACCTCTATTTCAATAAATAAATGATGTAAAGTTTATATCATTTATTATTGTAAACGATTTTTATATATTTACATTGTAAACGATTAAAAATACTTTTTAAATTAAAAATTAAATTAAAAATACACGAAACGATCAATTGGTTTCTCGGCGTTGGTTACTATCGCTTTTTTCCAGTACCCAAGAAATTAATGGTATTGACGAAACCTAGAACATTTGCTGCATTAAGAGCTGCTGAGATGAACGAAGAGTCTAGTAAATAGATGATCTAAGGTAAACATTCTGAGTATTTAAGCAATAGAAATAGCGTTTTTGTCTCAGAACCAATTTTTTGACGCAGTCTTGATCATGCCTTGTCTCCAGCAGAGATGCTCGCCTTGAGCAGAAAACGATAAATAAGTTTTTGTATAATATTAGTATTTTTATAAGTAGGTACATACCTACATATACTAAAATTATAAATGTTATAATTTCCGAGTTCCAAATGTTCAAAATTCCTGGTTGTATTTTTCTGCCTTTGAAGAAGAATATTACATTTGTATCAATGACAAGGCCCCTGGATATAAAAAGACACAATCGTGCAGACATTTCCAAAATATTGAATTACGACTATCCTTTTTTACAATTTATAATAAATGATAACATAGCCCAATTTCGGTTCCTATCTTAATATATATATTTCTTGTGTGCGTGTGTATGTGACTGAACTCCTCCTAAACGACTGGACCAATTTTGATGAAATTTTTTGTGTGTGTTCGTGGAGATTCGAGAATGGTTTAGATTCACAAATCAGCCCGGCAGATGGCACTGCAGTCGGTACTTTCATACTTTGCTTAATATCCTAATCGCTTTAAATATCATGCAGGACAACGTCTGTGGGGTCCACTAGTATTTTTATAAATATTGATATAACCTTACGGTTTTCGATTAAAATATTATATATTCTGCTTTACATAAGTATGAAATACCTTCATTACATGATAGTTTGTATAAAGTAATTAGAAAATATATTAAAATAAATAAATATATTTGTCTGACATATTTGTCGGACTGACGATAAGGGATACGTCTCCCGTCTGAAGCGGACGCTTAGAATAAACTGTTTATTAACTGAAAAGTACTCGTATTAATTGAAAATGAGATGTCAAATTTTAATTCTCAATACTTTATAGGTAATAATAATAATTAAAAATGTATGAGTAGTAATTTAGTTCCTGTGGCAGTACCTTTAAGGCTGGCAGCATTTCCTCGCTGTATTGCGATACTTATTCGTTGAGCGAGAAAAGCACCAACTCTGGGGTCACTGGTACTATCGAACCCTCGGTCTCTACTCAAGAGTCTTCAAAGGGAACAAAATCAAAGTTGGAGAAAATACTCTTTTATTTGAGCCGATTATTATTTTCCGCCTGCTCAGCGGCCGAGCCAGCTTTTGTGCCTGTCTTTATGCGAAGTTGTAATCATTCAAAGCCATACATTCCACACATAATCGCACGTTAGGCCTTTCGGAATAAAATTTTCAAAGTATCTTGAACACACTTGGAACATTCACACGCAGAATCTAGGTTATGTTCCGGTTTTTACCCTGCCATCTGAGATACATTTCACTTTAGGCTTTAAAGAATATTACAATTAACTATCTTGTAACTTAGTTTGCTGTAAAAATCAGAGCTAGGATTTTTTTCTATTAAAGTTAAAAAAAATAATAGAGGATTTTTAAAATTAGAATTATTGTATGGACCACTTTAAAAGTAAATAAAAATACAAATATTCTCAGTTCTATAGACAAAGTCAACAGCTGTAGTACAGCGCTGTATTTATTAACTTATCATTAGTTGCTTCATATTATAACACATACACACATATATATTATATGTATATGTACTCTTCTAGTGTTGGTCAGCACTCAAAGTAAGGTATGGAAATTATTAATAAAATAGATAAATACCCAAAATTGCAACCAGCCATTGTTTGTATGCGAGTCCTTTAGATGGGGTTTGATTCATAATACAGCTCCCTATCTACACTCCTATCTTATTTTAATTATAGTTTAACACTAAATTGTTGTTGGTTTATATCTTGATAACATGCACTGCGCGTACAATTATCAACTACATAAATAATATGAACAGCGTGTGCCCACAGCCTTCAAGAACATAAGAGCATCAAGTAGGTAATACTTGTTACTATACCCAAGTGATTTGCTTTGAAGCAAAGTGAGCTATGGTAAATGACATTTTTGGTTTTTGATGCAAAATAGATTGCTAAGCACAAATCTCGAGATGGACCTATTCGAGTATTTTTTTTCCTTGAACTCTGCGGAAGGTTATTAATTATTATGTTTTTTTTTTAAATATGTAGTTTTATTCAGGGAAAGCGTACAATCTCTATAGGGTAGCATAGAATTTTTTTCCATGTTGGTATGTAGCTATTTAAAAGGTAGGCTAAGTATAAAAAAAACATATTAAGGCGAAACGAAGTTCGCGGAGGAATAAGCTTAGTAAAAATTATATTTTTAAGAGCTTAAATCTTTGTAAGTACCTACAGTTGTACCACACAGTTCGGTTAGAGCAGTAAGAGGCGAAATCAATGCGTTAAAATTCTGAATAAGTAAAGATTTTACTTAACTTTTATTTAATATAATGTTGTATATGGAAGCATCCTATATAAAACATAATACCTTTCTCCATACAATCAGTCATCTTTAGTATTTGTTTTACTCAAAATAGATTTATTGTATTTTAACATGTGTTTCAACAAGTATTTTATGAGTATAATATATAAATTAGTACAATATTGTATGCAAATTACATTCATTTTATTAAATCTAGCTAACAGGTGCTTTTATGAAAACAAATAGTGCTTGTGGGGCATTCATGTCATTATTTATTTATTTACACTACGTTACCTTAAAAATACCTACACATAAAAATCAAAAGGCGGCGTGGTTATCGATAAGTCCGCTAACAGGCGATTTCTTCCAGGCAACTCTAGTATGGAAAATTAAAAAAGATACACCTACTGAGGGTAAAGTACAAGAAGTGCATATATAATTAACAAAAAAAATACATTTAGAATCTGTTATAACGACATCGAAGGGACTACTCATGTTTGGTCGTAAAAACCGACAGTCGTAACAGCCTATGACGTTGTTATTAAGAAACTAATACAATAGAATACAGCCGGGACCTTTGATTTTTGTCAATATAACCGGTAGTTGGTCTAAACTGTGGTCGTCGTAAACGGTTTTGACTGTACACTAGAAATATACCAACTAAAACTAAATTAAACTTTAATCTAAAAAATAAATAATTATAATAAAAATGTAAAAGCTAATTTTAAGATTTAATTCATTATTTATTTATTAACTTATTTTCTATTCTAAAAATAAAATAAATCAGAGGCGCTACAAACTTTTTAGGTCTGGGCCTCCCGCCTCAGATTTCTGTATCTGTTGCTTGATCATTTGTCAATCTAATAGGCAAGTAGGTGATCAGCCACCTGTGCCTGACACACGCCGCCTTTTTAGGTTAAAGGCAACCTCGTGCACCTTTTGCCTCATTTTATTTTATTTATTTTTATTTCATGATGTTTTCCTTCGCCGTTCGAGCGAATGTAAAATGCGCACATAGAAATAATGTCCATTGGTGCACAGCCTGATTTCATCCTCATCATCAGGGATGAGAGTCGCACGCTGAAGCCTAGAGGCCAACACTGCACAATTTATTTAGTATTTCCTTATTTTCTTTTCTTACAGTAACTTAATACTAATAATACAATTGAAAACTTATTAATTAAAAATAATATTATAATTAAGTTAAAATTAACAAGCATTTGCCAGAATCTTAATAAATTTGATGATTAGGTAGGTGATATAGACGTGGCACAATCGAAGAGCGTGATATTTTTCAAATTGAAAGAACCCAAGGCCGTATTTGTATGGCACCAGCAGGCGATTGACCGTGGTCTTCTCAGCACTCGTCGGCGTCGTTGGTCCACAAGCTAACTTCTACTCCTTTTACTTCTTCAGGTCCACACTCGATACCTTACGATTCCCCAAGGCCTGACTCACCACAAGCCGGTCATCTCTTGGTTCTGTACATCGTTTTCTTATCGAAAAGGCTTTTCTTTTCACCGAATAGTAATAACCGTTTCAGCAATTCACACGTTAGTAAAGCAATTTTATAATAATCCACTAAAATCATTATTTTTCTATCAGTAAAGAATGCCAGAATGTTAACGTAACGTAAGGTATGTACTCGTTTCAAAAAGACGCGTTGTTTTAAATTTAAAAAAAATATCCGTAGGCTTCTCTAGTATGAAGTAGTTCACAGAGTGTAAGTTATAAATACTTTTAAAATCAAACATATTATGAGCAGACAAACATATATAGGCAGATAAAAAAGTTTGTAGTTTGCGTGGGTTTGGTTTTTATTAACATTTAATACTACTATTCAATGCATTTTAGTCTGTGGTGTAATATATCCTATTGCTTTTCTGCTAGTTATGCTTTTCCTAAAGGTCTAGATACCAGACCATAAACTTCAAAAAAAAAAATGGTTATGCTTGATACTTGACAGATGCTTGAGTTGACACTTGACAGTGCCATAAAACTTAGAAACAATCAATGGGTTTCGAAATTCGATATAGAATTCTGTTACTGTCAACATTTCCATTAAAAAACTACAATAAATAAATGATTAAAAATTACGTATACTATTAAAAAAAAAGTTAAATTAAGATGGGCCTTCTATCAGACCCAGAATATGGATCGATGCGATTCATAAAAGTTCTAAAAAGGATCCATTCGCCTCTGTGTTTTCTATTTTACATTGGTGCTGTTGTATGGTTCTTTTTATTAGGGCACCGGGAGTTCAATAATGATACTTACTTCTCGGAAAATGCATTACTGCCAGGCCTGGTAACCAATGAATTCAATGGAGAACAAGCTGCGAAACAATTTCATAATGAACTTCTTCAAGAGCTTGAGGTAATTGCGATACTTTTTCCCATCTAGTGTCACTAGACAGATAGTGTTTTAAAACGAAACCAGCGAATCATTTAATGAACGAATTTTTTTTTCACGGTACTGATAATACAAAACATTATAAAAACAAATCTGCAATTGTTACAGGATAAATATGAAGATACAGATGAGATGCCAGTGCCATGGTTGGTTGCTAAGATGTCGCAGATTCATTTAGAAGTGTACACACACAACTTCACACTTAATTACCCTCTTGGACAAGGACAGGTATAAAACATGAGATATGTTTATCAACAATATAGTGCAATATGATTGCACTCACTAAAGCAGTGAAAATGTATATTCATTACAATAGTATTTCCAGTATGACATTAGAAAGACTACTTTATAAAGTGGTATTAAGCAAGTTAATTGAAATAATAATAATAATATAACCTTCGAGTTTTATGTGAGTACTAAACATTTAATTTAAACTCTATTAACCGTATTTATATAGATTGATGTTGTCTGCAAAAGACTCTCTTAGATTAAATAGTCATGTGTCAACTTGATGTGGTAGACTCTTAACTGACCGTAATAATTGAAAACACTCAAAACATCAAGCAACAATTTGTATTTACATCAATTATAAATGCTAAATTATTAAATAAAAACTGTATTCTATGAATAACTATAATATTTCCAGGTATTCAAAGGAACAAATGTATATGGCATCCTCAGAGCACCTCGAACATCATCACTGGAAGCACTGGTGCTCACAGTTCCATATAGACCTTTATCCTCTCATCAGAAGGGAACTACAGCTGGCATTGCACTAATGCTGGCTTTTGCACAATTTGCTAGACGTGAGTAGCAATTGAGACATTGTAAATTCTTAAATATTTTGTTTTTAATAATTATAGGAAGAAAATATTTAAAAAAATGTAACCCTATTATTCATCACTTATCCTAATATTTACTGACTATGTTAATTAGCTATTAATAAGTGAAGGATTATCCTTGATTTTAAAATATAAATGTTTTATTACAATTTCAGCTAAAAAGTATTGGGCCAAGGACATAATATTTCTTGTAACGGAACATGAGCAACTAGGTATGCAAGCATGGCTGGAAGCCTACCACGGTCTTCAAAGTGATTCTGGCACATTTTATACCAACCTTGGTAGTTTTTGGAAGTCAAAGAAAAAAGGATGGGAATGGACCAATCATAGTCGGTGTTTGGATCCCGGTACTTTAAAAGGAAGGTCAGGATCGATACAAGCAGCTATTAATTTGGAGTTTCATACACCAAAGATAAGTAAGTATGTATTTCTTTTTAAAAATTTGACCTGCTGTGAATTCACATTAGGCTAGAATTTTAGAATTAAAATAAATTTGAGCTAGCCCACCAGCCCATTTGTTTAAAGCCGGCTTAAAGTCTAACTTTAAGTCTAAATATTAAAAAAAAAAAACATTATTACTATTTATTTAATATTTTTCTTTCCTGGGGTGTTAAACTGAAAGATGCTGTATTCTGATCATCCTATATAATCAGGTGTTTGTATGAACTTTATTTCAGAGTACATAGAAGTGAAAGTGGAGGGTCTGAATGGACAATTGCCGAACTTAGATTTAGTAAATTTAGTGCACAAACTATGCGTTAAGTCTGGAATACATCATTCCTATAAAAACAGGTAACAGTACTAAGTTCTATTCTCATTAGCATAAGCTTCCCATTAACTTTTGAGTTAAGAACTAAAGTGTTTTATTAGTACTACAGATTTCATTTTGTTCAATTGTGTTCTAGTTATGCCTGGGTAAGAAATCGTAACAGTATGGACGGATGGGTGGATGGAGTGTGGACTATGTTGGGGATGATGTCGGCTCAAATAGCGGGGGTAAGTTTATCTGAACTTAAAATTTGTTTAACAGAATTTCTAACTATGGAATAAAAGTAAATTTTTCTTTAATTTAAAAAAAATTTAAGTCATGGTCTTTTAATTTTTTAGATCTAAACTATCTACTTTTAAATCTTGGATTAAATTTTTTGCAACAAACGAATTTTGACAAGCTAATAAAAACTTGAGGGTCATGATATGATAACGTTACCTTTCATTTCCCGTATAATTTTTTATTCATTTTTCCATACAACAGACCAACAGACCCTCCGTGACTTTATTTGTTTTCCATTCAAAAATGTACTTACAATTCAATAACGATAGCTATGCTATTTTGCGCATTATCACTTTATAGGTACCGAACGGCAACCACGGCCTTTTCCATCGATTCGGAATCGAAGCCGTGACCCTCGAAGGTCGAGATGCCGACGACCCGGCAGGAATTCCGCCGAGAGTCCACCAATTAACGGCAACGAATTTCTACAGACTAGGAACGGCATTAGAAAGCATATTCCGATCTTTGAATAATTTGCTGGAGAGATTCCATCAAAGTTACTTCTTCTATTTGCTGGCAGCGACTGATCGCTTTATTTCTATTGGTAACAATTTTTATTTAGCAATTACACAACTACGTATTAATTTACCAAAAGCTTACCACTGTTTGAATATTAAAAATAATGGCGAAGAAGTGAGGCGGGCCATTTTCGTTTAATGTGTACTCGCTGTCGGCCTCGAGGGCCTTTGCAGCTCAACTCGGGCTGTTTTGGCTAGGCCAGCTATGCCGGAATTTTCCCCGCGACTAGCGCAATGGCCTCTGTGAGACCCTCCTACGGGCCTTTTTGTCGGGGAGGGGGGAGATTCCTGCTGATTAAATAATATATCCTATCAAAGTATTTGTTTCGTTAAAATCCAGTAAACAATCATTATCAAAAAGTTAATTTGTAATTAAACAAAATTAAAATATGCATTTTGTTTGTTCTTATTTACTGTTTTATAAAGTTTAATTTAATGTAATAATTTAAGGTCAGTACATGCCGTCCCTGTGCCTTCTTTGTGGGGCGATGCTAATACGCGCTCTATCTCTATGGGTGACTATACAAAAAGAAGACGATAAAAAAGAAGATAAGAAAGACAACGACAAAGATAAAGATGAAAAGGATAAGGAAGAAAGTAAAGTTATCGAAAATCGTGAAGGGTTAAGAAAAAGAGTTAAAGGAGACTTAAAAGAAGATAGAGATAAAAGTATTTTCAAAGAAGATAGCGATATAAAAGAAACAGAAAGTATTAGTATTGTCAGTATTGGGGCAAATTATTTTTTGGCGCATTTGATTGGGTTGGGTGTTTTGAATTCTCCTCTTGTCTTTAGTCATATTGGTAAGTTCAACTACTAATAAATTAGTTTCCGCTCTTGAATAAACCATTCGTTTAAATAAATAAACCTAAAATTTTAGAATTTTTTATATATAATAAATATATATATTGGCTTATAAAATTTTTTCGCGTATTTGTTAATTTAAATAATTTATTTTTTTACCGTTAAAATACATATTTGAAAATGATATTTTCAGGAGCAAAATACTTCGATAAGCCATCAGAAGTCTCCGTCTATTACGGACTATTTTGTGTGTCCGCGCTTATAGTGGTTATATCACCATTCCTCTTGAAGCTATTTCGTCAACGCCCTGCGAACAGAGATGAACTGACTATTGTAAGTTAAAATTCTCTAGAAAAATTAAACCGATTTCGAATACCTGTCAACTGAATGTGATCTCTTGAACTTCGTACGTGTACTCTTTAAAATTGTGGATACTTCTAAAACTACTTAACTGATTAAAGATAATTAAACTTTCATACAAGTTGAAATATGCATACCTGTAACTCTCAATCTTCCTCGGTGTTCGTTCGTCCTCCGACATAGGCCTCCTCCAGATGTTACCACTGTAGTCTGACCTGGGCTGTCTTTCTCCATAGTTAACGGGCTTGCAAGCTTAAATGTATTATTATTATTATTCAATTCCTACAATATACACAGACGTACAGTTGAAAGAGATTATTATTTAATACGGCGTATTAAACGAACATTAAAAAGAAACAAGTTTCAAATGGCTTAAAAAACAATATTAACTTAAGATTTAGGTTAAAAATAGAATAAATGTTTGTATCTAATATTTTTCTAAGCTTATACGAGTAGGTTGAGACGTATGAGATTGTTTTCAGATCAATATTCTGCTCCTCATAGAAATGTCCACGTTGGGTCTTTGTGTGGGTATGCATAATATATCATTGGGGCTGTGTGTGTGTGCGTTGTATACTCCGTTAGCCCTGCTCGTCGGTGTCCGAGAAGCGAAGGGTGGACTTAAACGGTAAATATCGTTAATATTACATACATTATGTTCCTTTCGTTGTAATAAAATCTCCCAATCTATGGATTCTGAGATAGTCAAACTATCCAGACACAAATTTGCAAATCTCGGTTATTTTATGATCAGCTTAAGCTAACTTGGTACATCGGCGTCATCTGTTTATTGTTAAATGGCGATATTTAACTTGCAAATTATTAATTTCATTATTAAGAATTACTGAACACCCACCCTGGTTATGTCTGTGGGTCTGTAAATTGAATAAAAGATAATGTTTTCTTCAATATCGAAACTAGACATCGTCTGGGACCAAAACTCTATATTGAAAATCGCTATTTGAAGTTACAGTATCCCAACTGTATACTGGTACAATGGTACCCGTACAGCTTGCCAGCCGGTGGACTGTGAAATGTGTATTTAAATGTCAAGAGTATCTGTATATAATATGTACTGATGTGTTAGCTAGCTGTACTAGAGAACTAAATATGTGAGAGGCTGAACCTACGAACCTAACAACCGTACGGATTCCTAATGATGTACCCTAACATAATGAATATATGGTGCCTCCACATCTGGCGAATGCACCGCGAACGTGCAGATCGCGAGCCGTTTGCGAGCTGCGCGCGTGAAGTCACGGCAATGGTTTCCTCTTTAGCCTCTTTAGCGCAACTCGTGCAAGGCTCGTAAAAGGCGCGCTCACAGTTCCGTTTACTGACTCAGTAGTCAGTACTAGCTGATCGCGTACGGCGCTTAGGTTGCGCGCAGGATCGGCGCACGTACAAAAATGCTCGCGCGCAGCTCGGAAACTACTCGCAAGCTGCACATTCGCGGCGCATTCGCCAGATGTGGACGCACCCTTAGGTATCTCGGTGCAGACATCCCGTTCTTATTTATATATTCATTATGTTAGGGTACATTATTAGAGATGCACCCTAAAGGTAACAGAAGGAGTCCCGGTAGGTTCAAGGTGGTGGGATTTTCTCAAAGCTATCGGCCACGATATCTAGGAGCTTGGAGGCTTCGCCACTTTGAGAGGAAGCGGGAAATGAATAAAACTGATTTATTTTTATATTTTCTTAATGAACTTATCCAATTTATAGGTCACTTTCAGTATATCTGAAACAGTGCATATGCCTCCTGCTGCATCCATTGGTGATTTTAACGGTGTGTATGATGGTGTATTCCCGGGTTCTATTCCCGGAAGAACCACTTCTGAGTGCGTTGGGTCGAGGGAGAGATGCGGCGATGCAAGCAATCATGTTCTCTATTGTGGATTCCTTGGTAAGAATTATAAGTTGATTGTTTTAATCGAATACAAAAATTAGTTTTTTATTTTTGGCCTATTGCAGTTAGTTGCCTTAAGCGGTGGTGCCACAGTCGTGATAGTTTTTTCCTTAGAGGCGATTGTTGGGTCTAAAGTAAGCTGGTTTCCACAAAATGCCTTTCTTCACGGTGCGAGCATGAGAAATAATGGGAATGGCAACGATACTTATCTTAGTCATAATAAAAATTCTTTTCAGATATATGGAAACTGGTTGTTCAACGTGGCGACGACAGTGTTATTGCCCGTTTGGATTATATCTTGGCAATTATTGTGTGTTACTGTCGCTTAGAACCAAAGAACATATTCATTATAACATTTGTTTAATTTACCTAAAATAAATAAATAATACTAAATGGTATTTTTAATTAATGATTTGATTTCGAAATATTTTATCATTCGCTTGACTATCGCTATCTATATTATCTAAGACTATTTTTGGCACCCGGAGATGGTAGGTGGTGTTCCGCACTTAATATAGACCGCAAACCGTACCGCATTTACTTTTATTCATAATTTTAAGGATCCAGTGCTTGGAGTGGGACACACCACCGTTGATGGTAAGTGCTAGTCTTAGTCTCACCGATTATTGGATTCCTTTTTTTTATTATACTGACATGCGACAGCCGAACTAGCGCATATTATTTTACCGAGGGAAGGGAGCATCCTGGATATAGCTTCCGGATACCCAGGCCCACATACAGATACTATATCACTATAGTAGAAACAGAATTAAAGTCAAATAAAATATAGTTAATATTGGATGTATTCTAAAACAGTTACACAGGTACAAAAATAATATGTTAAATACTAGCTGCCCCCGCAAACTTTGTTTCGCCTTAATACAGATTTTTTTACTTAGCCTACCTTTTTAGAAACTACCAACATATGGAACACGTTGCTCTGCTTCATATAAACTGTTCGCTTAGCCGAAATAATAACATACCTACTAAATAAAACTAAATTTCTCGATAAAAACCTTTCTCACAGTTCAAGTAATAAATTAAAAGAAATACTAGAATTATTGAGCTTACTAACATGTTATATATATGTATGTATAATGTATATAGATTACGCACTAAGGGTAAGGCTTAAGTCTAAAAACATTTAATTTAATAGCTTATACTTAAACGATTGCCATCACTGCTAAAATAAGATATTGTACAGTGTCACTATTAACGTTTTAACAGGCTAGCGTATTTTAAATTTAAAAAAATACAAAAGGACATTTTTCGCCTCTCATTTCGTATTATCTGTAGATAGAAATAATAACATTTTCTTCGAATTTCATTTATGCCGGCCATACACGCTACGGTCTACCGGAAAGGTCCACCTGTGCAGGGATGTGTGTGGGAATAGACCTATGCATTATGTTATGTTAGTTTTGTTAGTTATGTTAGTTTTTTTAGGCGGCGTATCAAGATGACATTTACATTAAAAATAAAATAAAGATCCCAAGAAATATATAGGATACTGAAATTTTGAAACTAACAAAAACGTTTTTATAAATAATTTATTTGCATCCACAAATACCTATCAATCTAATGATATGCAATGTTGTGATATACAGTCTTCTATCAGTTTCTTTATATTGCAAGCTCCCTCCGTTAGGTTAATCAAACATTATTACACTGTATTACGAGCTCTAGGAGTAGCGAATTTCAGTTGTATCGCGTCCACGGCTAGACCCTTAGTTTCCGGCATGAAAAACACACAAAATATTGATGTTAGGCCACACACCACTGCAAATATGTAGAAGACTCCGCCGAGACCTGAAAATTTAACAAATCTCAAGAAGACGCAAGAGTTTTAATGTCACTGAAAATTGACTCTACCGTACACAGTATTAAACGATGGGGTCTCATGGTTGAGATGAATGTTTACTGATTATGGTTTTTCTTATCCATAAAATGTTTCTTTTCATGTAACAACTCTACTAGAACCTTCACTATATAGAGTTTGCTCTGCACCTTAGTGTGTGGCCTGGCTTTAATACAATTTTTTTCAAATTTTTATGATACAATTATTCTCGTCCTACGTCTAAGACGGGACAAAGCAGGCAACGCATCTACGCCATTTCTAGTTTTAATTATGTTCCATACTTACCTATACAGTTAACGAGAGGATTGAATATAAAAAGAACGACAAAGAAACACATGAATGTCCATTCCATTATCAACATGGAAGCAAATGTTTTGATCTGTAAAAAAATAACTTCATTAAAATGTTAAGTATGTATCACCAAATTGAGCTTATTGTTAGCTTTAATTTATTATTTTTAATTAATCTAGTGGCGCTACAACCCTTAGTCTACACGTTCAGATTGCATCCATTTTTTGTCTTATTAAATAGGCAATTAGCCACCATTCCAACCAGCCAGACCAGCCTTCCAATAAGCGAGGTCAATTTTCGGTTCTGTGTCAGTGAAAGTGTTAATTGCAAACATAGAATGAATAGGTTAGTTGTAGTGGAGCTTATTAAACACTTGCGTGCTAAAAGGTTGACAGACACGATTAACCACTAGGCTGCTCAGTAGTGTTAGCTTATTGAAATAAAATGTCAGTAAAAGTTCATAGTGCTTAGTAGTTATCGTTTATTATTACAACTACATTTTATTTTTTTTTATTTTTCCAATTCTCCATAAAAACCTACCCTAGAGCTCAAGGAATACATAAACAATTACTCGAATTCCTTATGTTATGCCCTTAGCACATATTTTGAGATTCATTTCGAACTCATTTATTGGTGCTATTCATACTTAAGACTTGTCAGTTGTCATAATTAATAATATAAACGAACCTCAGGCAAAAACACCTCTGCGCTGTAAATATATGGTATTGTTCCGGCTCCGATAGTATACACCACACAATACAAATATATAAAGAGAGCGGCCACCCAGTGAGGACCCCATGTGAACTGAATCTGGGTGCCCAGAATGACGCAGCATATTGCAGCCAATATCGAGGAATAGATCATCAGGCCCTAGAAGATAGTATATAAATGTTTTTTTTAAATATTAACTTTATAGTAAGGTGACATTGATGTTATTAAACCTGCGATTTATAAAACCTATCCACAGGTATAGTTTATACGCCTACGAGGCATGCCTTTTAAGTTTTTTTGTGTAGAACCTTATAGTAATTTTTATTTTTTTAAAGTATCAGGACTGTATGGAGGATGGTCAAGAATTTCTACTTTTTCCTGCTTCAAATAATGAATTGTTTGACGAGCGCTGTGTGAGCTTGCGTTGTCGTGGTGCAGGTTGATGCGTCGCTTTAAGTTAGATTTTCGAAGTTTGGCGATGACTTGTGGTAAACAAACTGTGGTATACCAGTCCGCGTTAACCATTCAATGATCTTCAAGTGCAATAGTCGCAACATGGCCGGTTTTTCCAACGAACGTGGCCACCATCTTCTTTGAAGTGCTTCGAGAGCGAACGAGTTTAGTCGGCTTTGGCTCGTCTTGAAAGACCCAGATTGTAGATTGTTGTTTGGAATCAGGATCGTAGGCATGGATCCAAGATTCGTCACCACTGATGATGTCGTAGACGTGATTTGACTCTCTTCGGTTGAACCTTTGCAGAGTTTTCTTACACCATCTAACGCGGGCCGCCTTGTGATCGTCGGAAAGCTGCAGTATCCAACGGCAAACTAGCTTTCTCACACCAAGCGCTTCATGCAAGATCTTCTGAATGGTTGTCCCTGAGATGCCTAATAGAGCCTCTATCTCTCGATACGTCACATGACAATCTTCGAGATTTAATTGTCTCACAGCAATGATTTTTTCTTCAGTGAAGGCGGATTTTGGGCGTCCTTCGCGAGATTTGTCACTAACACTAGTATGTCCACGCTGGAATTCTTAATACCAGCGTTCGACATTCCGCAGACATGGGGCTTCATCACTGAACACAGATATTAGTTCTTCAAAACACTGAAGCCGTGTCAGGCCTCTTCTAAAGTTGTAGAAAATTATTGCACGAAAATTTTCCTTAGAAAGATTCATTTTCGTACGTAACTTGACAGATTCAAATCGACGCTGTGACTAAACAATAGCATTAATCCTAATACTTTTAACTGTTTTGAGATTCAAAATTTAAACACTTTCGAATATAGAACAGGTCCAAATTCAAAATTGCCGGGAAACATGGAAACGACAGAACTTAAAAGGCATGCCTCGTATTATCTAAATTTTGTTGAGTTTTGATTTATAGAACAAATATAATACGGAGTCCAGTGAGGACTGCTTTTCAGTAACCGAATCACAGACAATCTGAATATTTAAATTCCAGTGTCATAGTGTTTGTAACCAAACTCCTCCGAAACGGCTTGATCTTTAAATTTACGCCTTTTATTTATACTCACAGAAACGATTTTACTGTGTATACTCTGAGTACATTTTAGTTATTCAGTTGTTCATACTATCAGGTCATGTCCAGATATAGATATTAGTGGAGCCCGCAGTACCTGCGAAATTGCCTATGGGTTTTCCGTTCATATTTTGCTGTTAACACTTTCTTAATGAACGGTGTATGCATGTATATTGGTAAAATTATATTTTTAAGGAGGCCCTAGTAAATCTAAAAATAACATAAACTTAATGTAACTTAAATTATAGTACTCGAATAAAGGCAACTTTTTTATTTTACCTTTCGCCCCAAAGCTTCCACCAAATACGCGGCCAAGAAGCCGGCAATGACAGTGACGATGGCAAATATAACGCTGGACACAGTAGCAGACATGCTGGGGATGGCCTGCTCGAATAATGGTTGCGCATATACTTGGACCACCACGAGGCCTTGGAATACCACAGCTGAGTTGAGGATTAAAGATACTACTAGGGCCCGACGCGATGAGCGGGACTTTTCTGAAAAAAATAGTTAAGAAGTCTTTAAATTAGAATACAAGATATTTAGTAATGTTAATTCATGATCGCAATACATGAGCAAACTATAGAAAACATATTATGAAAATACCGAATACGCAGGACAAATGTACGCAGGTGAAATGCTACAACACATTAAAGGAGCTTGCAAATCAATAGTACCAAAATAAAACCAAGCAACAAATAAACGAGGTTGCACTTATAATATACCTGAAATTTTCTATTGAATAAAAACTTAAAATCTCTAAACCCATACAAAATTTTAAATATATCCCACAAACGATTCTAGAAAGTTATACACTGCAATAGACCAGATATAACACTTGAAGTCAATAAAGAACACATTTAATAGATATTGCCATATGCAACACTCACAACTTACAATAGCTCTTAAAATCACGAAAGATTTTG